GATTATCAAACATGATTCCTTTTTAATATGAATAAAACATAGACTTCAGAAAGGTGATATAGAAAAGTGAATTCTCTGGTGAGCAACACCAGCCATCCTGGGAATGGTGAGTGGAGCTGTTCCGTGGTTCGTTCACCAACATCCCCCAGCCCAGAATGCTGGAAATAAAGGACTGATGATCCATACCAACAAAATCTCAGGAGAACAATGACTCTTCCTCAACAATTCACCTTCAATCACTCTTTTTCTCTCCAAAACGTATCTAGGACAAAAATGCAATATTCAAAAAGACTTTATTAACAGCCAGACAGCACTAGCAGCACAAGCAACAGGGTTAATGAATTTAACATACATGTACAAGAAGTAGTCTTTCTGCATGATACGGGAAGGTTTCCTTAGGAATGTTACATTGACCATTTAAACCATTGGACTTGCTGAGGATGTGGTTCAGTGGCCCAGTGCCTGCCCAGCAAGGGAGAGGCCCTGAGTTCAATTCCTGGTACAAAAAAATTAAACCGTTTGACTCTAAACTGCTCTAATTGACTCAGTGGTCAGGATAAATGTGAAAACTGCAATACAAAGAAGTGACTGGAGACACCAGAATGAGCTAAATGGAGGCAAGCAGGCATAGGGGCCAGGCATTGGGTCCCTGGCCAGCCATGCCAGCCCCGACCCTGGGGTGCATTGAGATGAAGTTAGGAATAGAGAAAAATTCTGATCAATACTTATGGTTTTTTTTTTAAATCTTTTTAAATCATTTATTTATTTATTTATTTATTTATTTATTTATTTATTTATTTGGTACAGGGTCTCACTACATAGCTCAGACTCGTAGTGATTTTCCTATCTCAGTTTCCCAGAGCTGGGATTACAGGTATGCACCACCATGCCCAGTTTTGGTAGCTGGCTGGTCTCTGGGCCAGCACAGCATGCTGTACCAGGGATTGAACCTGGGTCCTTGCACTTGCCAGGCAGGTGCTTAGACCAGCGAACTATTTACCCAGCTGTGATCAATAATTTTAATTGTATGTTTAAAAGTAATCATAGGTCGAATACCGATGTCTGGATTAAGCAGTTCTTGAAATGTATGTTTCCATAACAAATTGATTAGAAAATATTTTCAGGTGCTGGCCAAATAGCTCAGCAGATTAAAGTACCTGCAAGTAGGGTCCCCAACCTTCCATGCTGGCCCTGCCCCGGGGGCGAACCAAGATGGCAATTGAGACTGGGTGTGGTGGTGCGCCTGGGATCCCAGCTCTTGGGAGGCTGTAAACAGGTGGATCACTATGAGTCCAATGTAGTAGTGAGATCCTGAACACCCTGTAGACCCTTCCCTAAAATACAAACAAAAGAAAGAAAGAAAGAAAGAAAGAAAGAAGAAAGAAAGAAAGAAAGAAAGAAAGAAAGAAAGAAAGAAAGAAAGAAAATATTTCCAAGCTGAGTCAGCATAGGTTTTCTGTTTTGTTTTGTTTTGGTTTTCTCCTCTGTGGACAAAAATATTGGCTTTCCCTGAAACATACAATGCTCTGTTTTAACTAGTTAAATTTAACAATACAAAAAATGCTGCCTCAATGTTTAACACAAAAAGATCTCAAGTGCCTGCACCGTAAGGCCCACAACCTCAGCAACAGTGCTCAAAGTTCCTTCTGTGCAGCACAACATATTAAGATGTCCTGGTGAGCCATTCTGCTTAGTCCAGGATGGAAAAAAACATAAAATGTCTTCAAAATAATCATATCTTTGTCACATGTTTAAATTAGAATATTTTAAATATATACTGGATTGGATGAAATACATAACTAAAATTACCTTCACCTGTTTCTTAGTGGTATTTTAAAGGATATTGTAGAATACTTAAAATGACCGATGTGGCTGACATCCTTACCTTGGACTATACTTCAATTAGCCAGCACTTCTCTCTACCTAGAAAGAGGGAATCTTCCTTCCTGGCGATGTCTCTAACATCAGTCCGGGGACCGATCCCTTCCACGATAAATGCTTCCCACACAATCCAGTATGGGCTTATACTCTCAGGTACCTCATGACACAGTATGAATGAATGCCATACAAAAGTGTCACTTTTCATATAAGAAACCCTCAATTAGTGAGAGAACATGGAACTAGGACTAGAGGGCCTTCTTTCTTAGAAGACCTTTTGGTCCACTGCAGCTATATCTGATAATCCTGGTGAACACTGAGCTCATCTCAAGGAGGCCTTTTTGTTCATCTTATGATTCCCAGTGATTTGCTCAAAGAAGGGCTTTCCGTAAATGTTACTTAAGCTAACTAAATGTAGACATAAGTGATCAGATAATTAAAAGAAAGAAAGATTTTGGAAAGAAGTGAGCTGCCCCCCATTTCCTGATAAGGACTAACATTTCCATTCTATGGAGAGGGTAGCCTCCTTCTGGGACTGAAAGCTGAACAGTATTTAATGGTTGCTTCCTTATAAGACGAGGAAGTGTGACATAGTTCAGGAAAGAAAATATTTATCAAGTGAACACTGTAATTAATTGGATATATTCTTTACTGTGCATTTTATTTGGTGACTAAATCAAACCGTTGATCTGTGACTATTTTCAAAGTTGTGTTTTATACATGCTTTCAGATGTGCCACTTTGGTGTTAGTTGTATTTGTTTAATTTAGCAAAACATCAAAATGTTTCTATTCCAGCTTTAGACCAATTCATCTACCACTGTACTTCACCTAGCAAAAAAGGCAAACCATTTGTAGTCTTGAGAAACCTGTGCCATAATCTAGTCCTCCCACGCCAGGGGAGCTCAAGAGTCTCACCTTTCTACACTTCCCAGTTTCTGGGCTTGCACCTGCTTCCAGCCCCAAAAGTGATGCTGCCCAAGGAGGTAAAAATTACAATCCGCACTCTGTCAGCTACACAGCTCAGGGTCCTCTGAGGAGAAGTCAGGACTGCTGAGAAAGCACAGCTTGCTGAATGTCCGTCTCCTACCAGAGGTCAACCTGATGCAAGGTGGAATTCTGAGAAACGAGATTCCTCTCTTACCATCCTCCTCTGGCTCATAAGAAATAATGAATACTGATAAAATTACAATACAAATAAGCATTTTAAATAAAGTGTGTAATTGAAAGGATTATAGACCCAGTAAGGCATTCTTCAAAATCTATTGTCATGTCTTTGTGGACTTTACTGCTTATCAGCATTTTTTTTCTCCTCAAGAAAAACAGAACAGCAACATTTATTCAGAAGAAAAAGAAAAGCAAATTGTGTTTCTTCCTTTCTTATTACTTTTATTGTTCGAGGTTCCTTTTAGACTATGATGTGATATTGTGATTTGGGGAAGGGGAAGAAAAAATCCTTGTCTTTCAAACATAAGAATGTGATTGTAAGCTATTGTTGCCAACAATGAGCTAAAGAGGTTAATGGATCACATATCTGGCAAACAGCCATCCTTCCTCTAGCTCAATTTATTACACAATATACATTTTGTTGTTGCTGCTGAGCTTATGATTTTGTCTGAGTAGTTGGTAAATAAGTTTACTTAGATTTAAGCCATCTCTTTCAAAACTCAACAGTTTTGTCCTTCAGGCTAGTGTGCTTCACACACACACACACACACACACGCATACACACAGGCAATTTGAGATCTGAGCTCCTGGCCTTTTGAGGTGGTGCTGTGTGGAAGTTTTCCTGGGGAAAGGGTGAGCCTGGCTTTTGAATGGGTACCTAGCCAGAGAGTGCCCTGTGAATTGCAGGGGAACTGTCATTTTCAGATTGACTAAATTAACAGTCAATTACCATAATAAAAAAGAAGGCACAAGGAAGAAAGTGCAGCAATTCTTGCTGCTGCTCACTCCTAGAGACCTCTAATTAAACGGGCCAATTCTCTCCACTGACCTCAGGTTGACACAACTTTGCATTCTATGACTCATTCCAAAACAGACCCTCAGGAGCAGTCCAACTGTGCTTTCCTGCCTAAAGGACTTTTCTGTGTAGATCATTTCTACTGTGGAATGTAAGCAAAAGACCAAAATCCTTTACAGTACGGGGACATGAAGGACCGATTACTCCCTCCATCCTCATACGGAAATCCCTTATCAATGAGAAACACAGTTTCCCCAGTAATTTTGGTCGGGTAGGGATCAATGCATAGGGCACAAGTGAAAGAGCAGGCACACAGCTGTCTCTGATCATAGGGGCTCACTGCAGTCCGGCCAAGAACAGAGTGAACAGCACGTTAGAATCGAATCGGTTCCTTGGCGCTGTTTTACTGGCGGCAAAGCACAGGATGGAAGCTTAAACTGGAAAGTGAGCAGCCTCTGGGATAGGGGATTTGGGACCTGGAGAAAGGCCGAGACCAGAACTCCTCTTCGCAGGTAGGCGTTGATCGCCCCCTGCGACTCCGGTTGCACACAGCAGTTCAAAGCGCGCGGCTCTCGCCGCCGCCGACCCCCTACAGCCGGCGCGCTGGAAGTATTTGGCAGCTGCCTGGACACTTCAGTGCCCCAAGCTCTGGGTCTAGGTACCCTCAGCCAAAGATCTGTTTCAGCGCCGCAGAGACCAATCCCTACACCTCTGACCCAGGGGGCGGCCACATTGATCGCCGCTGCAGGTTCCCCAATCCCTCGTCTCCAGGCTCGGGAGCCCTGCGGGCCCACCTGGCAGGCTCACTACGCTGCCCGCCATTAGTTCCAGAGCCTGGGTGACAGGCGCGGTGGCTCCGCCGCTGGACCTCCGCCTCCGGGTAAAGCCCTCTCTTCCCGGTTCTCCGCCCAGGCCCTGCCCTTCCCTGCAGCCAGCCAGTCTTGCGTGCGCCCAGCACCCCGCGAAGATACCTGCGCTCCGCTCGGATCCCCACCTTTTGCCCCTCCCTTTCCACGGCTTCACTGCCTGCTAGGGGGCTCGCGGGCGGCAGCTGGAGGAGGAGCAGAGGAGGCGGGGAGGGCGAGGAGGAGCAGGGGCGGGGCGGGTGGCTTGGGAGCAGGGAGGGCGTGGACGGGCAGCCACTCTGCAGCTGGTGGCGGGGGACCGAGTCCCTCCTGCCCTGCGCGCCTAGCGATGGAAGGGAAGAGCGCGGCTTAGACGCAAGGGCGTGCACACCACCGGGCTCGTCTCCGGGAGGGAGGCAGCTGCCGGTTCGGGCGGCGGCCGAGACTGCGCGAGCCGGGAGCAGGCGGTCGCACAGCCCCACGCCGGCGAGGACGCGGGAGGAGCAGGTCCCCCGCGCCGGCTGCGGCGCTTCCGTGCGCCGCGGGCGGGAGCGGCCCCGGAGCTGCCGGGACGCTGCCCTCGTCGAGCAGGGTCCAGGCGCGGCGAGGATGCGCGCCTCCCCACGCCCGGCAGCTGCGGTCCCCGACTCTGCGCGGACTCGGGCCCCAGCGGCCGCCCGTGCCGTGCCCGCGCCGCGGGAGCGCGCCCTGCCGCACCTGGCTCCCGCCTCCCGGGGAAGTGCGGGCGACGCGCCCTGAACTCCACTACTTCTGCGCCCCGCAGCTCCGCCGGGCCTGCGCCGCCGGCCGCCTCTCACTCACGTGCGCTCGCGGCCCGGCTCGCGCGCCCGGTGCTCGCCTACCTGCCTCCGCTGAGCCCGCAGAGCCTCGGAAACTAGCCGCCCGCCGCCCGCCGCAGGACCGGCCCGCACGAGGCTGCCCGCACCCGCCCTCCGGACAGTGGTGAGCAGGGCGCGCCGCCCGCTGCGGGGAGGGGCCGGGGCAACAGGCCGGGACCTCGCGGGCTGGGGAGGCGAGCGCGCGGACGTAGCTGGGGAGGCGTCCGCGGGAACCCGCAGAAACACTTTGTGGGTGCGGTTTTTCTGGGAGCTGTCTGGGCAGACTTGGCTAGGGCTTGGGGTCAGGCTCCCAGATGGTGAGAATCGGAGGAGCGATTCCCAGGGTCAGTCTAGACGCGGTCTGTTGTCTGTTCCCAGGTCTCTTGCTGCAGCGCTGTACCTCGCGCTGACCACGACGGAAAGGGGGAACACGGCCGCTGCGCCGAGTTTAGGGGCTCGCGCTCGCTTACTTCGCGGGTCGTCTGCGTGCGGTCGGTAGGAGTTCTGGAGCAGTTTGGGGAGTAGGGAGCTAAGGGATCGGGGCTTCAGGGCAAGCAAAAGCTCACTTAGCTCGAAGGTGAGGTGCCCTGTTTTTCAAGCGCTTTCCCCACACCATCCCCATCTCCTCATAGCCTCAGTTAACTCAGTACACACACGCACCCCACTTCCCACAGGAAAAACAGGCAGGCTAGGAGTGGACATATTTTTATTACCAGGAGGTCTTCCCAGTCTCTGTGCTACTGACTGGAGCCCTGAGTTCCTTCCCTGGAACTTGTAAGACCACCTTGTAAAGGGACAGCCCTCCAGGAAGGGTCGTCCAGCCTGAGCTACAGGCCTCTACCTGGAGGTGCCAGGTGCGCAGCCTACACCCTGCTCCCAAGTCAGGCACCTTGGTGGGCTCAGCTGTCAGCTTTAGCTCCGTGAGTGCTGGGGCACCCACCTACGGGAGTTGCTGCTGGGATCCGTCGTCTCCCTGTGCTCACCGGATAAGTCTGTCTGTCTTCTCTCTTTCTTCTGAATAACAACAGTTTCTTCTAGGGAAACGTTGATCCCCAAGGGCAGATTTAATATTTGCAAAATGCTTTATACCATATTACTTCGTGGATAGATTTAATTGCGTGGTAACCCTCCTCTGATTTATGTAAACTTAGCCTGATAGATAGCACACAAGGTCAGGTTGAGTGAGAGCACACGCTGGTCGGTATCCTTCCTATGACAGCACTCAATTCCAAACTGATTTGCTAGAAGCAATAAAAAAAAAAAAAAGGTGTGCTTCTGAGAGATGTATTTTAGTACTTTCTACATATTGGAGAGTTTTCCACAAATGGTTTCACATTACGATTTGGTTCAGATATATTCAACTTGTTTTCAAAGAGAAAGTTGGGAAGATAGTAAGAGGGATGTAAGTCTGAATGTCAGATATGACTATTTTTAAGTGTTTTATTGGTATCAGTTGCATTGCAACGTATGTTTTTAAAAATTGCCTTCCTGTGGCTGCCCAGTGAAGTTGTTAGAAGCAGAAATGAGAACAGTTCCACTTACCAGTCTCCCAGGATTAGTTTACAATTGGTCATCGCGCCTGGTGACTAAACAAGCTTCAAGGTGGGCTTCTTCACTTGGAAAACCTAAAGATTCACCAGCAAACTGTGATAAGGTACTGGGAGATCTTACAAGAAATGTAAAGGTGAAAAGGAAACCGTTGCTTAAATTTAGCTGCCTCCAAGGCAATGCATTTTAACAAGAGGCAAAACTGCTCCCCCAAGTCACTCTGTCTTATCTATCAATACTATTCTCTCAATTGCTAAAATGCTTGGCGATATCATTACTCATGTAAAATAATATTTTCAAATAGATGCCTAAGCAGATTATATGCAAAATTATGAGCACAGCTCTCCGTGGAGAAGTACAGCCAGTGCTGGGCTCAAGGTTTAGAGCTAGACAAAACCAGTGCTTACAGGTTGAGATCTGATGTTGTTCCCTTTGACATCTTTGGGAGGAGGTGCTGCTCGATGTGTGCTCATGCCCGCATCAGTGTCCTTACCTGGCTGCAGGCATACACAAATGTTTTTAATGAGTAACATTCTGACCCAATTTTTACTCATTCAGTAAGTTTCTGGTGAGCACATGAACACACAGCTCACAGAGCTGAGCTGGGGTGTTTTTTTAAACAAGAAGGAAGCATCACTGCTGGAAGCCATGTGCTTTAACTCCTACGTTGTGCAAGTAGAGCTGCAGAACAGGGGTTTACTTAGGGAATCAGAGTGTTGCCCAGAGTAGGTGAGTGACAAAGAACTGTTGATTTAAAAAAAAAAAAAAATCACATAAGATGTTAACTAGCCACGTTTGTTTTTACACAAAATTCCACCCTTATTTTTAGCCCACCTGGTCATTCAGGTATGACCCAACTTCAGGGATCTGATGAGGCTCCTCTTGCTCTTCTCTTTGTCTGAATACCTTAGAGTAACATAACTTTCTGCGCACTGTGTGTGACTTATCGCTCTGGCGTTCTGTGTGTAATTTCTCTGGAGCTGTGCCAGAACCGAATATATCATTAGTATTCATTTATAAGTAAATGCAAATGTTCTTGTTGCAATGAAAAAGAGAACTTGAATTCATAAAACACAACAAATATTTTGCTCTTTAATTTTCTCATTTCTATTTTTATAGTCTCAGAAACTGTGGCATCTCTTTAAGTACAATTATATGTAAATTATTTGGGGGGAATCTTTTGAAAAAGGGAAATGTCCTATGGTTGTGTTAATTGGGGAGATTTTTGTGTTCTGTTGACATGTTTGGCAGGATGGTCTTTTATTGTATGAGCTCTCATTCATGAATTCATGAGTAAAATAAACCAAAAGGTAAAGGGAGGTAGTGGGAGAGAGTGCGCTTGTAAGAATCTCAAGAAAAGACTGAGCATTACTAGAACTGTGTCATTGAAATTATGTGAATACATGTTTACTTTATGTGCATAATTTAAATCTTTTAAAAATATTTTCTAGTAGAGTAATATCATGATATTATTACAATTAAGTAAGTAGTAATCTGATGATAGGATTACACTTTGTTTTAAGGAAAGATAAATAGTTTGACAGAGAAAAACAATCAAATTAAGGGAGTAATTTTTCAAGTCATGGATTTATCTCTACATCTTGTCAGTTATTTATTAAGAGGGGAGAAATCAAAATCAAAAGAACAAATAAGTAGTTTAACTTTTCATTATGGAGTAAATTATCACTGGAAAAATCCTACATTTACATTTTGTGTGAATTTAATATGAATTCTTTAAAGATATTCAAAGTGTAAATTTTTTCTAGAAACTAATTTAACTGTTGATAAGTTTTGTTACCTCTAGAATCAGCTTTTGTTTCTGAGAATCATGCTATTACCTTAACCTGGATGGCAGGAATACTTAAATCTAGACATTAGCACTATAGTTTTAAAATACCTGATCTGAGCAAGCACACTTTTGAATAGTTAACATTTATCAAAAGTAAAAGTAAAAATTACATTTAGGGATGCATGTGACATAAGGAGAGGGGTTATGACACTGTCTCAGTCTCACACACCAGTTCTGTCATCAGGATTTACTATTAATCTAATGTGTGATGCAATGGATTATTTTCTGTCTTCTTGGGAAGACTTCTGAAACACAACTATAAAAAAAGGCTGAAGAGTTGATCTGACTTTAGATCAAGTTTTGTACATGTAAATTCTATGTGTGTGTGTGTGTGTGTGTGTGTGTGTGTGTGTGTGTTTGGCTGGCTCAGCCAGCCCACCCTGGGGGCAGGGCTGGCATGGCATGTGGTGCTGGGGATAAACCACGGTCCCTGGTCCCTGCGTGTTTGCAGAAGCTTGCCTAAGAAGGCGCTTTATACTGCTGAGCTATCTCGCCGGCCCATCTTACATATCTGTTCTGAATAATAACTTTGAGCAATAGGAAGAGTATCCCCTTAGGAGCATGTGTGCTTTATGACTGGATGGCATGCAAAGAAAGACACACAAATGTTCATCTAGTTTAATATTCAAATGCTAGCATGGCTAAGCTGTTTGGGACAATTTAAGAAATATAATAGTTTTGAGCATGTGCCTGGCACTCTACAAACATCTCTGGCAGTAATGTATTTTAGTTCTGGTAGCCAGTCTTTCATCCTCTATTCTGAAGAAGAAAAACAGATAAGCAAAGTTATTGCTACTAACAGCACCGCTTGAGGAAGAGGAGGCTTTGTAAAAGCTAAACAAGTGTTTCTAGCTCCATAGCTACTAAGAAGCTAGGTCAAGTGCCCAGGCAGGCCACCATCTGTACCACTGCCCTTGAAAAGGATTTTTTTTTAAGTTCACTTAGCGGGCCAAGTGAACAGCAAGTTAAGTCATAAAGCAAAAATACATTGCAGCTACTGAAATTTACAACAGTTTTCACTTCAGAGTGAATTCCTAAGGAATGCATAAGGAAGGTGATTATACCGAAGCAGTGACGTGACCTGAGCCAGAGCAATGCTGCAGCACAGTGCTGTATCTTAATGTAGTGTTTAATGAACTCAATAATTTTCTAAGGTTCAGCTACTTTGAAATTAGCAAACTTCAAGAACTAATGCCATACTTAGGTTAATAGCCCAGAGGCTCGGATACCGAATGCTCGGCGCCTTCCATAATATCCTTATAATATGAACTTCTTCCGCAGAGGTCAGCAGTGTTACCATATGGTACGTGCCAAAGGAATCTTGAGTTTAGAGAAGGTGTGAAATGGAACTTATGCTGCTCAATCCTAGCTCTACCCAGTAGACATCTCATTAATGCTTACTGTATGAATTAAAGCAGGATATTTCACAAGTTGCTTATTGAGAAATAAAGCAACTTCAAATATAGTTATAATTGCATAGCTCTTAAAGGTGTGATTCAGGAATGAACAGATATTTTCCTTTTCATGATGATCTGAAGACATTACTGTCTATGAGACTCTGTAGAATAATAACCTTTATGAGATGAAGACAAAAAAGAGGAAGATGGTGTAGAGTGTGAAATTAAAAAAAAAAAAAACTGCTTAAAATGTTTAAATTTAGAAATAGACAAAAGGAAAAGTGCCTGCAATTGTGCCTTTTATTTTAAAAAGGCAGAGAAGACACAATT